CAAAAACAAATAATATCAAGCAGAGGCCATCACTTTGCCAATTGTAGTTGATACAGGTTAAAAAGCAGCAGTATGGAAATATTTGATTATGCTGTAACATGCACTATACAGATTTATTTTTTATTGAGAACAAGATCGAGGAGAATTAAAAAAAATCAATTAATTAGTGTTGAACAATGCTACCAAATCATGAAAAAAACACAATGGAAGAGCTTGGTGGAAGACCAGGCAAGTGACATTTTAGGGACTTTTATGAATCAGTGACAATAACATAAAGTGGTCGTATCAATATGGGCTTCTTTATTGTAAAAGCTTATTGTTTGCTTTCACTTTAATCTTAACATAAAAAATCTACATTAGTTTTCAGTATACTTGCATGATTTTGATTTTAAAATAAAGTTGTGGTAAATAAAATAAGAAAAAAGAATTATTAGATCTACAATCTAATAAATTGGTCATAAAATAGTTTGGACACCATTTTTTTTTTTGCCTTGATAATAGCCTCTCTAAAAATGTCAGTTATCTGGCTTTTCAATTAAGCTCTTCAATTGATAAAGCTAAAATAATTTTAGTCTTTTTTTATTTATTTATTATTATTTTTGTTGCCTTTGTCTATGGCCTTACGTTATTCTATTAAGCAAAACACTTTTTTTGTGCAGAATATCATATCAGAATAGAGATTTCCTACGTTTAGCATAACTTGTCGTGATGATATTGCTTGCGGCCAACTCATAATAGTTAAACAATACCATTATCAAGTAATTTTTTCCGGTACATATCCCTTTCAAAATATCCCAACAAGACAGTTATTTCTCGAATATTGGTATTATAACTGCATAGTATTGGCTCAGTTTTAATAATCACCAAATGTATCAATATAATACCTATATCAGCATGTTTGGCACTTATTGCATAAACATTCAACATTTGAGTTTTGTGCGAAGTACATTTATTAGTGGCAACTGGATAAAATCGAAATTTTAAAAGCAAATAGAATTATAAGACCTTGATAAGGACAGAACCATTTCTTTATTGGACCTTTTTTTTTACTGTATAAAACATTTCTAAGTAGTTGGGAAAAGTTCTAATTCTAAAGTATTAATATACCTTTTTTTTGCTGCTGGAAAATATTTTCTGAAACTACAGGGACCCGTTGCAGACTTCTTATTAAAACTGCACCAATTACCATAATACCAGTAGTATATATTTGTTTTTAAGGCAGCAGTTAAATTTTTTTTCTATTAATTTTTACGTGCATATGCATATGCTTTATAGTGTTTATATAAAAACTGAAATTATAGTTTTTAACAAGAGCTATGCATTGCAAAATATATTCTTAAAAATATGGACTTTTATGTATTTATGCAATTTTTTTTACAGATAGTAGTTGTCAAAATCATTATAAACCAACTTTGTTAAATCAAAATAAAAATATTAGTAAATGCATTTTGTTTTTACTTTAGTAATAAAAGAGATCAGGAAATTTGGCAGCCAGTGCACACATATCACCCAATCATAGCTGTGACTTTTGAATCATTTTTAGGGCTCTATCTTTTAATCTTTTCAGACTTATGCTGTAAGCATGCCACGTAATTTTGAATCTTGTCAGACGACGTGGGCAGCGCCTGAGCTGGTACATCTTTCTACAAACTTTCACACTATAGCCAACATACGGACTTCTACCGCCACTTCCTGCGTTGTACATACCGGATCGAACTCACAGTCTTCATTTTCGCATCGGTGGTGTCAGCCAGTGGTTCTTAACCCTTTTAAGCCGCGACCCAAATTTGAGAAATATGTTCATGTCGCGACCCAAAAAAGAGTCAAAATTTTTTTCATTGCTTTATTTTAGATCGTATTTTTAAAAAATCTTCAATCCTACGATGATGATTTTTTATAACTTACAAATTTTTTATTTATTTTTTTAATAATTAAGATAAACAAAAGTACTTTTCGATCCAAGGAAAATTTAATTAATAATCAAGTGTTTTTAATAATTTTTATTGACCAAATTAAAATATATTTATAACTTTTTGAAAATAATTGACATTTTAACTTATTCCTTGACTTAAACAGCGCCACTTCTGTGGAACTATTTTTCTACCTCTTAGAGAGGGCCCTTATGTTAATTCTTTTTTACTTTTTTATTTTATTTTTTATTTTAAACATTAACTACTAAGTATCTTTTATTCTTATATTAGTTTTGCACCTTGATATGCTAAACTAATTTTGAGTCATGTGCCTTTTTTAATTATTATGAACGAGGATTAAGGGTATAGAGTTACCCAGGTACCTCATNATATATATATTGACACTCTTGATATTTTCGCTAATTTAATCGCAAATTTAAAATTCTTCCTCGAAATTAAACTTGGTTACAATTTAATTAGTTTATATAAAGCGTTATTCTAAACAGTTTGTATATCCTAGTTATCTATTTATATCAAGATTTATTTTCTTATCTATTTTTCTGCATCTGCTCCATTTTTTTATCGTAAAAACATGCAATTTAGTGTTTTCACTACAGCGCGAGAACGCGAGAATCTCGAATATTTTTTTTTTTTCGCATTAAAAAATGATTACCGCGTGAAATTCGCGCATTCTATAAATCAATTTCAAAATTCGCAAATTTCTTGCATTTTAGAAAAAGCTTCGAATTACGCCATTTAGAAAAAAATCCGTTTCACTTTTCTTCCTAGATCTTTCATTATTTTCATCATCTGCCCCATTATCTAGCTCAGTGGTTCTTAACCTTTTTAAGCCGCGACCCAAAAAAAAGTCAAAATTTTTTCATTGTTTTATTTTAGATCGTATTTTTAAAAAATCTTCAATCCTACGATGATGATTTTTTTTAACTTACAAATTTTTTATTCATTTTTTTAATATTTAAGTAAGATAAACAAAAGTACTTTCCGATCCAAGGAAAATTTAATTAATAATCAAGTGTTTTTAATAATTTTTATTGACCAAATTCAAATATATTTATAACTTTTTGAAAATAATTGACATTTTAGCTTATTCCTTGACTTAAACAGCGCCACTTCTGTGGAACTATTTTTCTACCTCTTCCTTTATGTTAATTCGTTTTTACTTTTTTATTTTCTCTTTTATTTTAAACATTAACTACTAAGTATCTTTTATTCTTATATTAGTTTTGCACCTTGATATGCTAAACTAATTTTGAGTCATGTGCCTTTTTTAATTATTATGAACGAACGAGGATTAAGGGTATAGAGTTACCCAGGTACCTCATTAAGCCTAGGCTGAGTAAACCACAATGACTTCTTCTAGGAGGTGTTGGTATTACTTATTATTTGGTGTATTACTAACTTTTTTGGTTCGTCTCAGCGCGACCCAAGAAATATGCTTCGCGACCCATAGGTTAAGAGCCGCTGGTGTAAGCCACGATTTATTGCGGCTATACACATCTGAAACTCGTATGAAAACGACAATGAGAGAACAGGAGCCACGATGATGAAAAACTGGATGTTTGAGCACGGTGAAACAACCATGGCTAATTAGGCCTTTTTTCTAATCATTCACGTGTTGTTTTGTCACGATAACTAGTGCCTGTTTCGAAGGCGTGAAGAACGTCGACATTTTTCATCGGAATTTTTGAGAGCTAATGAAGTTCTTTCATAATATACTGTACTTTTAGTTTTTTAAAAAACTTAAGCGACCTCTGGTATCGGATTTTTAACTTAGGAGAAAGAGCAATGAGAAGCTTAAACATTGCGATCTGCATTTTTTTTTTTTAAATGAGCGTGGTTTCTTATCCATTTTTACACACTGAAATGAATAAAACCATACCCTATTCAATAGAGCTGATTGTATTGAATTTAAGTTGAGAAATGTTTTCCAAAAAATAATTGAATGTGAAGATCAAGGACGTGAAAATGCCTGGTAAAAAAACTGTAAACGAACTCAAACTAAGATTGTCAACAATTGTTAGTCGCGGACAATCTAAAATTTCAGTTTGCCATAATTCAGCACCCAATTTGTTCAACCATTGTAGTTTCTGACGGCTATTGCTCCTAATTTTCTTTTTTTATATCCGTAACATTCTTCAAGTTCTTTAAATTGGGTTTTCACCATTGCTTAAGTACTCCCTTTACTCTCAATTAATCCATGAAATTTTTTTCTGTGACATTAGTCAATGTTTGTTGCCTCTTTCCCTGTTTGTCACTGCTTCGAACATTTTTTTTGGATGTTTGAGATCTTGCAATGATAAAGATATTTTTGGTGCACCATACGAATTTTAAGTAACTTTAACAATTTCTATTTTGCGTTTATTTACTCAGAATATACAGAAGTCGAATTTGTGCGGACCCTAGATTCGAGTCAAGATGTCCAACATTAGGTGGTAAATTCTGGTGTCGATGTTTCAACGAAAGATGGTGCGAAAATGGAACTCTGTTAGATATTCAGGTACACAGTTTTCTACTATATTGCTGTATACAATACGAAATTTCGATACGCAAGACTCAAAAAATTTGAGTTCATCAGGTATTGATAGCTCGCGTGGGGACTTTGATCATAGTTAACACTTTTCAACTTGTCTACGAATGTGCCTTTTCGATCCAAGG